AATTTGGTTGGATTTCTTCAAAGTTAAGTTTGTGCTGTTTTCTCGATTTTAGCTATTTTCACCGGCTTTTTGATCAGTGCACAGCAGCTCGCGCAGAGTTCATAGAAATACATGGTAGAGTGGTGCGCGTCTTAAATAGCAATGTGGAGCGTTTAGTGACTTAGCTCCGCCTCGAAGATTTTGATAGCTTGGCCAAGCGCGTTGAAGAAAGAAGTTATATGATTGGCTGTTGTTAAACTGATTCTAAACTGTGAGGGCATTGTCACATACACATAGTCCTAATGAAATACTTCAAGGTGATAGTGGAGTGCTTCGCCGGAACATTCACCTTGAAAATTCAAGATGTTGAAGTCTCCACTTCCATGTTTTCTTCAAATACATTTCAGAATGTCACTGTACACACATAATCTAACATTCTTTCACTTCCAATTATTAAATCACAAAAATATAATCAGTGACACACGCATAATATCACAAATCAGTTTTTCAGTTGATAGGAAAAACACAAAAAATCACTAGAGAGTGTGCAAAAGTAAAAATAGTACCTTCATCCGTTTCTATCTTGGCAGGATGTAAATGAACTTTTGCTTTCTTTCTGGCTGCTCCAGAGGCCTCTCCACTACTAGAACCACTTACACCCTTGGGTAGGTTTTCATCATCATTTCTTTTTACATCGCTTGCTCTATATCCTGCAATTGCTAAGTTTACAGCATTTTTAAGAGCAACATCATCATCCTCATCATTATTCTCTATCCCCTTTTCAGCATTCTTCTGTCTTTTTTTCACCATTTCATCATGGATTTTTTTGGTAATTTTAGCTTCAGTCTCCTTATGTTTCTTTGATTTCATGTGATTGTCATATGCGTTTTGGGAGTTGAAATGCTTGTTGCATATTTTACATTGTGATGTGGTGTTCTTATCCACTTCTTCAGACTCTGCCCGCTGTGCCAAAACTCTCTGTTGGAAGTTATCTGCAGTCACAGGAGGCATCTCGGCTACTTTTCTTTTCAAATTGTAACGATGCCAGTCTGATTTGTAATGGGCACGCTGGATCTCTGCGCTGATAAAAGCGACTCTACAAGTAATGCATGTAAACGGTGAAGACATCTTTCTTCAAGTTACTGTCAAAAATTTAAAAAAAAGAAAATGTTTAATAATCTGCAGCCTGTAATGTTGGAGTATGATTGTTGAAGCATTTTTTTTTTATATAAATGTTTATATAGTTCAGTGGCAGTTGAATCCAATTAACGAGCGCAGTACACAGTGAAATAATTCAAATAAAACTTGAAATTCATAATACTTAATAAAATGGAGAGAATTTGTTTGTGGTGTCGATACTATACTTCGAAAATTCGAGATATCGATGATGAAAATATGAATTCTTCACATTTTATAAGTCCAGGAAAGTTGCACGCCTTATCTCTTTATTCACTTTTGGTATTTAATATTGCACAAAGTGTGCAGCAGACGTACTTTATTAACAATATATTTCATTGTTCTGGGTAAACTGTGTCGAATATACGCCAAGTTTAGAGTCCCTCAGCTGTTCAGGGACTTGTGAGTGTACGTACGTCACGACACGAGTGGTATAACTTTACAACACGGATATTAATAAGATTTGTATTGATATAAAGTGCGTGGAACAGAAAATATACTTACCGTTAATATACGTTACAGAGAAATTATTATTTGTCAAGAATTAGAATATACGTACAAAGTGCTCACTCACTCCTGTCGTATTGTGCAATACTTTCGTCCAACTCAGAGGGCACAGTTATGATTGAACCGGAAGTGAATGCATGCATAGTGGCGTCATCCTCATCCCAGGGCAACATAGTTTTGTTTATATTATTGGATTAGTGATTTTAGAATTTATTCTACTTATGAATACTTTTGGAAAATAATTGTAATGATTGAAAGTATAAAAATCATTTAATACATTACTCGTAGGTAACGCTGTAATTATGTTTTCGCGAACGAGGTCAGCAGTAGTGCATGCGCAGAATAATCAGTCTTTTGGCTCAAGAGACGAACGAAAATGGTGGGTTTTGTAAATAGTGATTAAAATCCGTCCCATCCTCTCTAAAATATAGCCTGTATCATAGCACTGTTGTTACATGAGCGTGATATATTAATCTATTCGTTAGTATAACGATGTTTTGTTGATAAAGGTTGTAATAAAACTCTGTAAACTGACTGATTGTAGGAGTGTCACAGAGGTTGTTTTCATGCTCGGCTGTCTCATGTTTTGGTGAATGCCGAACGCAGAATGTGTACTCTTTAAAATAACTTGCTTACAGGCCAAGCGCACCAGGAAAGTCGGAGTTGTTGGCAAATATGGTACACGTTACGGTGCATCGCTTAGGAAAATGGTGAAGAAAATTGAAATCACACAGCACTCTAAATATACTTGTACATTCTGCGGAAAGGTAAGTTTCAAATTTCATAGCTTTTCAAATTAATGCTCGTTACCCTTGCATGCACTGCTCCCTTCTCAGTAACTGCATCACTCCCTGATTTCGGAGTTTTCGTTTGTGGTTTACCATTGGGTTTGAGAACTTAATTTGGAGCGTTTTATTAGCAATTTCGAGTTGCCCTCACACCTCTGCCATAGTTCTTGTGAATCTTCAATTCAAAGAATATTGCGTCAATTTGATAAAAGAATTGTTATCAATTTCTAACTATTCTGTATGTGTATTGAATGTAGAATGTCCCATAATGTACTATGAATGTTGATGGGTAATGTGTGTAAATCTTATAAAATTATAAGCTGGAAAACTCAAATAAGTTTTACTTTTCATTTTCAACGTCATAAGCTTCCTTAATTATTCTGATTTTGTCCTAACCTTGAATCCCCTTGCCAACTTTGAAGTGCAACTGATATTTTCAAGAGAAATCGAGGTTCTGGCAGTTATTAGTTTGTGTTTGGTTCATCTGTTTCATTCAAAACAGTTTGCATCAATTTGCTGTGCATCCACCTCATGTTGCTATAGCAGATCCATGGCCAACGACGGAATATAAATAATGCCCACTTTGACAACACTTTGGATCCAGGGCTCTACTAGACTTTAAATATTTATAATCGGATACATATCATGAAGTGACAGTGCTTGAACCTTCATAGTTGAGAGGACACTCAGTTTAAGAGGACATAGTTTGATAAAATTGCCATAGCATGTACAAATAGAAAATATCAGTATTTTTCAAAGGCACCCAGGCAAATGCATTGCGCAACAACATGCAGGGCTTAACGTTAGCGACATTGAAGACAATTGCCTTGATGCCCAACAAGTTAAATAATTCCTATATTATTCCTATAATAATGTCTGTGATGTTCAAGCCCAGTTCTGATTTTGCTGTAACTTTCAGGAAAAAATGAGAAGAACATGTGTTGGTATTTGGAATTGTAAGAGCTGTAAGAAAACTATTGCTGGTGGTGCGTGGGTATACAGGTATGTAATCAGTACATTTTGGTGGCGAGACCCAGGATGGTGTTCAGTTTGGATGCAATGAAAGAATAACATGTTGGGAGACTAAACAATTTTACTCTAAACATCACTGTATTTTGAAGTAAAATTTTCACAATTTGGTGGATTTCGCCTCAAATTTCATGTCAAATGTACATTATAAATGTCAAAGCTGGTAAAGGATTTGTGAGAAACCAGAGGAAAGAGCAAGGCGAGTGAAAATGCACAGAATGCCCAACTAATGTTGCCATATTTTGTTGATTACAGTACAACTGCTGCTGCCACAGTTAGAAGCGCTATTCGTCGTCTCAGAGAAGTTAAGGAAACATAACTCTTATTGGCCTGTAGTTTGTAAAAGAACATTGAGAGCAAGAAAAAAAATAAAAATGAAGTTTTAATTTAACTATTTATTTTGTGTACCAGAATTATTTGTGTCGAAGCATATTCTTTGCAAGTTGACTTTAGCACTGAATACCCACAGTACAGTGGCTGTCACAATGTTCGGATTTACTGTAAAATTTTTAATTTTTGCTTGAAATTTATTTTCCCTGAAAGGTGATTCAGTGAAAATAAAATCCAGCAAATATACCCCCCCCCCTATGTTTTACATTCAACTTATCAAAAAATCACTGAAAATAAACTTCATACAAAACACCCAAAATGTCTTTTCAGCAAAAATTAGTTTTGGCTAAAAATAAAGTATTTCACAGTAGTATGCTGAGCATACATTAGGTTACTGGTTTGCTCTTGGTAATCCGAAAGCCAGCCATTCATAACCGACCCACGAACCAGTGTGTGATTGTGTTAGGAAAAGCTGCATTTCACTGCAGTTAAATTGATACATTTGATTAGGTGTGCCAAGGAGCTGGCACTAGCGATCAGAATTGTTGTATCATAGCGGTAAATTTCGTAGGGGGGGGGGGCATCTCAGATTAAAACGATGGTGTGTAGGGTTTGTGCCAATTCACCCAAAGTCAAGAACAGGTTTATATTGACAAGTTTCCAAAATTTCGTATTGCAAAGTTGAAAATTGTTTGTTGGCAAGTGAATGAAGACAATGGAGTATCTAAATATTTGTGCAAATGGTGTTTTAGTTAATGGTCAAACATATCGACTTGCCAGATCTTTGTTGCAACAAACTCATCATTCCCCTTACTATGTGCTTTGTTTTGATGGTCAGTAAGCTCGGCCACTGAGAAAAAGCAAGCAACACTTCAATTTCTATATTCCACCATTTCAATTTCAACAAGTAATGTTTCTATTGCGACTTCAGATAGGGTAATGCAAATGAGCCCATAATTGTTTGAGGGTTTGCAACATACAGTAAATTGTGGTGCAATCTTGCCAAGAGTTAATGTTCAAGCTTTGGCTAAATAAATGCTTGGCTGGCGAAGATGGCTTAGTTTAAACCAGGAAATTAGATCTTAACAATTTAACTAAGCTATTGTATTATTCCAGCATTTGTTTTTAGCGATCAGCTGTGGGGGGGGGGGGGGGCATGTATTTCATGTGTGTGTAAACAATGCATTTTACAAAAGTTGATGCATAACGTGGGACCCATATTGAATACGACACCGAT